AAAAAAAAAAAAAAAAAAAAGGTAGGGGAAAAAGATCAAAAAGGAAATATTAACCAGTCAGATTAGATTAGGTAGGATGGAGAGTCAGGGGGACGGGGTATTTTTTATTTTCTCAAATTTCAAATTTTCTTTTGTGTGATTATATTAGATTTACTGATCTTGTTTTTGAGACAAATTTAAATCTTAATTTTCTAGATTTGTTGCATGTACCATGGTTAGAGTTTCTATACTTTATAGTTAATTTATATATGTATTTATTTATAAAGTGAAAGCAGTTTTATGTTTTCAAAAATAAATAGCTTGTTTTATTTTATGTCAGCCTGCCAGACTTGGAAAGAAAGTATTTGATTAGAATAGTACGGGCTTTTATCTCTATAGAAAAAGGTGGAAAGGCTCCTGGGAAACTATTGAGTGCTGAGACATTATGGTAGGTAATTTAACTGTATAAAGAGATAAGAAATCCAAAGTTAAGCAATTTGACTGCTAAGGTCACACAGGTAGAAAACAGATCCATGTATTATTTTACAAAGCTTATATATTTTATTAAAACTAATAATAGTTTATTACTTTTTGTTTTGTTTAAGAAAATTTTCACAGAATCAGAACGTTTACCAGAGAGGCCATAACCCTCCTCCTGGTCCCCCCGGAGAGGACTATTCACAAAGAAGGTACTCTTGGAATGTACAGCCAAATGCCAGTCAAGTAGTGCAGAATCAAAGGTGGTGTCCTGGCACTTACTATGGACTATCCTATCCAGCCTATTATGGGTGGACCCAATGACGCAAACCTACCCTGGAAATATACTTGGAGACAGCAGGACTGAAGACTGTTGGAGTGACTTTTTATAAGATCAGGTCAAATGAGATTTATAATCTATTTTTTTTCTCCCTTAAGTTCAAACATAAGGAAAAATTATATTAATACTTAGTTCTTTCCTGTTAAATTTGCAGTATTTGCAATAGTGAAGGAAATAATCTGTTGCTCCAGTCTTAAAATTTTTAAAAGGAAGATGTTATTTTAGAACTGATAAAGTAATAAAGAACATCCTTTGTACATAATTTTTAAAGATTCTATGTTTTCTATGCATTTCCTTTTGACTAGATTTGTGTTATGAATGTGTATGTACAAAAATTTCTAGCTATGTTCTATTGTGTCATGTTCTATTATTGACCCAATTATTAACAATATATATATATATATTTTTTTTTTTTCTTTACCTCTAACTGTTCAAGATTTCTATTAAAATCTACCTAGGAGACAATCTCTTTGGAACCTACTCACTATTTGTAATTAGTGGTGGTATCTTTGTGGTTAGACATTTCTTTCTTTGGCATTCTATTGTGGGATTTGACCACCTTCCTTGCACTGAATTGTCAGGTATGCCATCTAACACAGGACTGGATAAACATTTAAGGATTGATTGTCAATTGGGCAAGAGAATGATGAACCAGAATGCTGGGTAATTTACCTGACAGGGTAATTGTTACCAACTGCGTAGAACTACTCAGAAAACTTTCGTAGACTATAAAGTTTGCTTAATGAACAGAATAGGATATGACATTTAAAGTCTGGGAAATCTGAGAAGACTTTCATGGCTCCTTACATTTTTGCTTCTTTGTTGAATATAAATGGAATATAACTTGCTGGAATCTTTCTCCACTTGCCTCTCACAGTGCAGTAGTGCCTTGACCTTCAAATTTTCTAAGTTGTCTCTTTTGCTGCTATACCTCTAGAACACACAGATGGATCATGTGAGAGGTGTTAGTTTTAGTTGCAGAGGAAGCCAAACACCTTTGTTTGCTTAATAAAGTATTTCAGCATCATAACACCAAAAGCCTCGGTAGATATTTGATGAATTCTTGGGCAACTTGGCTTCATTTTGAAAGCCTCTTTCTTTGAAAATTTGTATCAGAATGTCTTATACTGCATGTGATAATTAGTTTATCTGTTCACTTTTATATGTGAACAACATGTTGAACCTGACCTTAATGAAATGCTCTAACTCAGCTACTCCCTGTCTGTGTCTAATTAGCTCAGCCAAGTTGCTACCCTTCATCTAAGTGATGGCTCATGCAGTTTTTCTTTGCCTGCTACATTTAACACAGATACAAGAGTTGTTGCTAAAAGGCTCGTCCTGGGGAACTGTTCCCCACAATACATCAGGAAGGCTCACTTGTAAGGAAATTGGAGCAAGACAGCTGGTGAGGCAAAAAAGAACAAGCAGTGGCAGGTATGGGGATCCAGCTAGTCTAGGGTTTCTAAGGAGTTCTTTGGAAGCAGTTTCTGAGGAGGACATTGCCAGCAGAAGTGCCATTATATAAACACTGCCACCTTCAAATACTTTTCTTTACCGGACTATTCCCTCTGTCCCCTTCCCCTTCTATTTCAGTTATCAGCATGGCTTGTTAAAAACTAGGCTCCATTTGCTATCTTGTGTCTCATCTTTTCTTCAACACACTATAGTTCTGGCTTCTGCTCAGATCACACCATTGAAAGTCTTCTGGCTAAAGGGACCAGCAACTCCCTTTTTAAAAGGTCTTAGTGTAGTCCAGCTGGTGTCGCTCAGTGGTTGAGCATTCATCTATGATCCAGGAGATCACGGTTTGATTTCTGGTCAGGGCACATGCCCGGGTTGCCAGCTCGATCCCCAGTGTGGGGAGTGCAGAAGGCAGCCAATCAATGACTCTCATCATTAATGTTTCTCTCTCTCTCTCCCTCTCCCTTCCTCCCTTTGAGGTCAATAAAGTTATATTTAAATAGATGTATAAATATAAAAATAAAAGTGTTCTATTTAAGCTTTTAAAATTTATTTTTATTTAAAAACTCATGAGTAGTTTAATATTCAAATAGTTCTACCAAGATTACCATGAAAAAGAATAGTCCCCACCCACCACACAGCAGATTTCTGAGCTGCTACTGAAGGGTGAGATGATCAGAAGTGTGTAGTAGTCAGTTCCCATGGTGGGGAGCCTTGATTAATGGGACACAAAATTCAGGAGGAGCCTGCCAGGCTAATTCCCCCTCCTTTTCCCCTTCTGTGGGCTACTCTCAGGCACGGGTTTTCCTTTCCAGCCTTCCAGAGAAAGTCCAGCCAGCTGAGTGAACACACAGGCCAAACCAGCCCTGTGCCTCAGCTCCAGCTCCATGTGAAGTCTGCCAGTGAGGTGATCCATTGTGTCTAAATGCTTTGCATCTTTCCTTGCTTCCCTTTCCTGCTTTCCTCACCTGCATCTCCTGAGTAAACCAACAACACTTTAATACTTGCTTCAGGCTCTGCTTTCCAGAGGTTTTGTTAATAAATCTGGCAGAGTCAAAGTTCTGAGCCATAGCTCTTTCCTGATTTGACATTGAGATGCTACACATATTTTTACCTTTTAGGAATTCAGAAATGTCAGTTACATCCACGGTAACAGTTTTTCAAGAAGTACAGGTTATTTTCACATGACATGGGAATAGTTTTTGGAGTCTGGGTGTCTTCCATGACCTCTTTGTTCAGATAACACTTCTATGGTTAGATTCACTTCAACAGATTGGGACAGTTATGCTTATGTGTGCAAGTCGTCGTATTGCAGAGAACAAGGTTGATATTCTTAGGAAAGTTCTCAGTTAACTCTTCAGATCAGTTTTTGAATTTTATGATGCATAATCTCTATTCTGCAGCTGTAGGTAAAAGGATCATCTTTACCTCTGAGATGACTTTTTGAAAAACAGTAAATTTCATCTTTTTTTAGTGTACAGTTCTATGAGTTTTGACAAATGCATTCAGTTTTGTAATGACAAGAACAGTTTTATCACCACCCTCCCACCCCTTCACCAAAAATTCCCTCAAGTCACTTTGTAACCAACTGCTCCCACCAAGCCCAGACCCTGGCAACAACCAATCTGTTTTCTGTCCCTGTAGTTTTGCCATTTCTAGGATGTCATGTAAGTGGAATCAGGCAGTATATGTAGCCTTTTGAATGTGACTTCTTTCATTTACTATAATGCTTTTGAGATTCATGCATGTTGCCAAGTGGATCACTAGATCATACCCTTTAATGCTGAGTTAGTATTCTGTTGTATGGATGTACCACAGTTTGTTTATCCATCTACCAGTTGAAGGATTGGATTGTTTCCAGTTTACTTTTAACAAAGATGCTATAAACATTTGTGTACAGATTTTTTACGAACATATATGTTTATTTTCCTTGGGATGGGATTGCTGCTATGGGATAAGTGTGTGTTTAATTCTATAAGAAACTGCCAAACTTTTCCAAATGGCTGTACCATCAATAAGGTAAGAGTTCCAGTTACATCCTCACCAGTACAGCACTGTCTTTTTCTTTTATTTTAGCTAATCTAATACAGATGTTGTGTTGCCTCATTGTGATTTTTAAAACAGCTTTAGAAATATAATTGGCATACAGTACACTGTACATTTTAAAAGTGTACAGTTTGATATATTTGACATGTATACATCCATGAGATCATTACCACAGTTAAGATAGAACATATCTATTACCCCAAAGTTCCCTTGTGCCCCTTTGTAATTCCTCTTTTCTACTCCAGGCCCCTTACCCAGGCAACCACTGATCTGCTTTCTGTCACTATATATTCATTTTATTTAAGTAGAACCATACAGCATGTTCTATTTTTATGTCTGGCTTTTTTCATTCAGCATAATTATTTTGAGATTCATCCATGTTATTGTATGTAGCAACAGTTGATCCTTTTGACTGCCAAGTTAGTCCATTGTATGGATATACAATTTGTTTATCCATTCACATGAATATTTGGGTTGTGTTCAGCTTTTGGTGCTTATAAACAAGCTGCTATGAACTGAGATGACTTTTTAAAAATAAATTTGTAATTTCTAGAGTTTTGTAGAAATGGGACATACAGTAACATAATTTTAGATTCTTGTGATTTTTCTTTTTTTGCTGAGCATGGTTTTAGATTGACCTATGTTGCAAGTATTGTTGCAAGTACCAATAGTTCATTCTTTTCTATTACTGAGTAGCATTTCATTGTATGAATTTACCATAATTTGTTTATCCATTCATGTGTTGTTGGGCATTGGGTTTTCATTTTTGGCTATCATGAGTAAATTTGTTATAAACATTTATGTGTATACCTTTGTGTGGATACATATTTTCACTTCTGGATAAAATAACAGGATGTAATTCCTGGGTACAGTAAGTGTATTTTATAATTTTTATTAAATATAATTTTTAAAGAAACTGCCAAACTCTTTTCTAAAGTGGTTATATTCAGACCAGCAATATATGAGGGTTCCAGTTCCACATGTTGTACACTTATTATTATCAGTCTTTTAAGTCTTAGTCATCATATAGGTATAGTAGTATCTTCTGTTTTTAATTTGCATTTCCCTTATGGCTAATGATTTTGAGCATCTTTTCATGTGTTTATTGACCTTTCATATATCTTTTGTGACGTGTCTGTCCAAATGTCACCCATTCTTAATTAGGTTGTCTCTTATTTTTGAGTTGTAGTTCTTTATATAATCTGCATACTAGACTTTTGTCAATACTTTTTCCAATTAAATATATTCCCATTGTGTTCAAGCCACACAGTTATCTTTGCTATTCCTTAACTAGGCTAAGGCCTTATATGTCTTAGAGCCTTTGAATTCTCTTTGTTGCCTGGAATGCTGCTCTCCAGTCACTGTTCAAATGGCCCTTTTGGTGAGATACTTCTTAAACATCTGATTTAAAAGGGGCATTCCCCTCTTTTCTCTATTTTCTCTCCATAGCACATATCCATAGGACAGCTATATTTGTTGTTTACCTGTCTTCCAGTGTAAAGGATAGTATTGAACAAGATGAGCCCCAACCATAAAGAACATGGAAAATACAGCCTGTTTTTGTTGTGTGTTTTTTACCTCCTCTCTTGGAGGCTGATACATTCAGGGATGACAAACCAAATTTCTGAGCCTGGTAGATGAAGTTGATTTCATTAATGTAGTCACAATCTCTTCTTACCCAAAGCAAACCTCCCAGCGTGGTCCCCTTTAGGAGATCCTCCCTAAATGATCGTATTGAGACCAGGAAGGAAACTGAGTCCCGCAAGGAAACTGAGTCCCGCTTGCTCCCAAAAAGCACTGCTGAATCTCCGACCAGCGGAGACAAATGTAGAGCTCATCTTGGCCAATGCCTTTGAACAGAAGGAAAGTGAGGACGTCTCGTCCAAGGCTCAACAAGGGTTAGGGGACAAGGCTGAAACTTGCACCCACACCTCAGCTTCCCACCCACGGATCGTTTCAGGCCCCTCACCGGAAGCGACCGACGGAGCCTCGGCTCTCCTTCGCGTCCGCGACAAGCCTTAAGCTGAGGGAAAAGGATCTGCGGGAGGAAGAGGTGAAGCCCGGAACCTTTCTCCCGCGGGGATCGGAAAGAAGCTGCGGACTCGAGGAGGGCGGAACTGGGCTCCGCTGAGGCCGCGCTTCCGGAAGTTGAGGGCTTTGTTTCGAGGGGAAGGTCTTCTGGGACGGACGGCGGCGGTGGCGTGAATCCTCCGAGCGCTGGAGCGGCCGGGCAGCTGGAAGCTGGCGGGCTGGCGGCGGGTGAGCGGGAGGGTCCGTGCCGGGCTTCTGACACCCGATCTTTTTGAGATGACGCCTGGGGCTCCCTCCACCCGGGTTTATCAAACTCCTCCCGAGGCCAGGCCCTGGGGGTGCAGCACGGAAGTGATAGGCTCGGCCTCCAAGGAGTGTTCAGCCTAGGATGCTGACGCTGCCGCTTCTCTGAAGCTGTGAAGAGGCTGAGAGGAGCTCGCGCAGCAGGGACCCAGTCCCGGGGCCCTGGGCGCTCTGGTGACTGCACTGGCAACTGGGAGTGAAGAGAGGGAGGAATTGAGTCAGGGGCACGCCCTGCCCAGAGGGCAGAGCGGGGAGAAAGCTGGGAGACTTGACGCTGCGAAGGCCGTTGGGGCTGCTGCGTGGTCTGGGAGGGGAGCGCTGGGAAGCAGAGGGGGAGGAAGGGCCCAGGTCTTAGAATCTGGACCGCCTTGACCTGAAGTTGGGGCCTGTCACAAGAGCAGCGGAAGGACAAGATTTGGTTTACATTTTGAAAGGATCACTTTGCGGGTAGAGGTTGGATTTGTGAGGCGACCATCCCTAGGAGGCCATAGCTGTAGAAGAGAAATGTTGGTCTAGGTTGGTGGCAGCGGGTATGGGAGAGAAGTGGACTGGCCAAAGTGATATTTAAGAGGTAAAGTTGGCCCTGGTCGGGTGACTCAGTTGAGTGGAGGGTACTCCCGTGCACCAAAAGGTGGTGGGTTCGTCTCCTGTCAGGGCACATACCCAGGTTGGGGGTTCGTTCTCCCCGTCTGGGCCCGTGCAGGAGGCTAGAACCTATGGATGTTTCTCTCACATGCTTCTCTCTCTCTCTCTCTCTCTCTCTCTCTCTCTCTCTCTCTCTCTCTCTCTCTCTCTCCTCT